CCCCCCCGCAGGTACAGCTGCTTGTGCCCCCCTTCCCCAGCACAGAGATGCCAAGCTGGTCACCAAGACCATCACTACCTAGCAGCGGGGAGCAGAGAACCATGCCTCGAGGACAGCGGGGAGAGGCTGGTTTCACGAGGAGGAGCAAAGTGTGCTGCAACTCTGCCTGACAGTGCAGGCAATTCTCACATGTTCCTTAAGCCAGGAGGAGAGCTCAGACCAGGAAGGAGCGCTCTAGGTAGGCTTTACTCCAAAGGTGAGCCCACTCTGATCACTGAGGACATCCACGCGCTGGGACACGGCACAGACAGGCTGTAGAAAGATGTCCTTTAGGTACAGGCAGATCCTCAAGGCTGCTCCCCAGCATCATCAGGGTCAGTGCACAGAGCGAGAGGCAGCCCTCAGAGAGCACCAGCAACTGCAGCCTTGAGAGGTTCCCTGCAGGCACCCAAGACACAGCTTCATGCTGTGCATTTAAGGATGTCCAGGAGCTTTCCCAACCCGTCCTGACGTCAGGCCCTGGGAACAACCGCTTCCCCTCAGCCTTCTAGGTTAAGACTCAAAGTGTCTTACAGAGCAGGAGTCAGTCATTTATTGTTAGAAGCCATCATTCCATGCAGCAGGAAGTCCTACAGTCATTCAGCTAACAGTACATGAAGTCATAGCACCTGATAGACAGCTTTTAGCAGGCATAAGCCTAACTTCACCCCGGTCCTCTCCCAGGGGTGCAGCCACTCTGATTCCATGGAAGAGCCAGGCAGGAACCCCTGGACAAGGGACCAAGAGTGCTCAAGAAAGAGTGAAGCCCGAGGGTTCCTTCACTAAGAACAGAGGTTATCTTTCTAAACCCAAAGTAAATCTGAAGTAAATGAGAGGATTAATTCAAGGGCCCCGTTAAATAGCAACAAGCGCATAAAGGTGTGCGAGTCTGCCAGCCACGAATGGGAGGATTCCACTGTGGTGCACAGCAGTGGTGGTGGCAGGGAGCACGTTTAATGGGATTAGTGGCCCCCTCCTCAGTCACACAGATCATGCAGCGTTAACTTGAGCTCGTGTGAGAGCAGGCGGTTTCTCTCGAGCTGGCTGTACAGGCGCTCTGCAGCAGCGACGGGACCAGGGGAAACAAGAGAGAGAAAGAGAGAGAAAGGGCAGGTTAGTGGAGGACCAAGCTGAGCACATCCAACACGCTGTGTCCATAACATCTAGGCTATGACACAGATGAAGCCAGGAGGACAAGGGTTTATCTTCCTAACGTGCGTTCCAGCTCAGGAAGATCACAGAGGAAACCCAAGCGTGGGCAGAAATGGGCTTGTGAAGGCAAAGGAAGGAAGAGAACATCAGAACCTGCGGGCTGGGCTGGACTCAGCTCAGGAGAGAGCCTCAGGGTGTGCTTTAAGCATGTGGAGCGCTGCAGGAAGAAGTAGTCCTACCACAGGTGAACCAGAAGCACCTTCCAGAGCGTGCCACGCCACACAGCACGGGGTTGGTGGGGTTTTAACGGGGACACCAGAAGAACAGAATGGCAGCACCTCATACCTGAACCTGGAGGACGCTCCTCCAAGGACATACCTTTGGGCCTCACTTAGCAGCTCACCACATCTAGACAAGGCCTGAAGGCAGAGTCTGCTTCGGGGACAGGACAGAGGAAGTTCTGGAGCACAGGCTCCTGTTCCAGGTCTGTCCCAGAACAGTGAGTGGGGTACAACCGCATCCGAGAGCCTTCACCTCCCAGCCAGGCCCTGTCCTCGCAGCCCCACAGGGCTGCAGCAGCCAGGCTCAGCCCCAGGGCTGGCACCAAGCACACGTGCTCCTCAACAGCTCCAGGGCAAGCAAGAACCAGCCTGATCCTCTCCCAGGACAGGTCACCTCTTAGGGCTGGATGGCGAACGGACCTGTCCTTGCAGCCCGTCACAACCAGCCACTGCATCTCTCTCTGCCCATGCACAGGAGCAGGGTCCTCCCGGCCTGACAAATCCAATTCCTGCTTTAGGGGAATTCCAGGCAGTGAAAAACCCTTATTGCATCAAACATGCAAGTGTGCCAGCCTTTGGAATGGTCAGATCCAGCCTGGCAGAGCTCCTCCTCACAACCTGCAGCAATCCACATAGCCTCTGCCTGACGAGCGAGCACAGAACACAGCAACTCTTGTGTTCTCAAATCCTTGGCCTTCTTCTCAAATCCTTGTACTACAAGTGCTTAGAAACCCCAGGCAGCCTCTGCAGGGGCTCGACACCATTCCTCATTGCCTTCAACGTAGGAGTAGCTTGCTCTTGAACAAGACCTGGCTGCGTAAAGTCAAGCTGTTCACACGGAGCAGCCACAGGACGTGCCCATTCCCAGTGTCTCCCCCAGCCACACACGGGGGGGGAAGCCTACCTTCACCCAACTCCCGCCAGCACCCACTCCAGCTGCACCTCACACAGAGGGTACTAATGCTGCTTGTCCCTTCTCTAAAGCCACCAAGCAAAGGCCAGAGAAGCCAACAACTTATGTCCCACCACAATCGAACCAGAAGTTGTGGCATGTGGCATGGGTACATCCCAGCCTGGCCTGTACCAAAGCCTGCCTTGCACATCAGCTGCTGCTGCTGCTGCTAGGGGCTCACTCTGGCCTCCCTGCTGGCTCTGAGCTGAGCACCCCGACGCCAGCCTCCAGCCCCAGAGTGGCAGAGGATGGGAGTCAAGTGTGATCACAAGTACCTCCCAGGGCAGAGGTAGCACCCACCCACCCGTGCACCACCCAGCGTGGAGTACCAAGCAGGGCAACGGTCCTGCCACAGCCCAGCCTTCAACAACATCGCTTACGACACCCCTGTGCAACGGCAGAGCCACCAGCTCCACACAGGGCAAGTCATAAACCCACCACTCCCAGGGCCTCCCCATGAGGAAAGAGTCCGTTGCACAATGGTGAAACGGTGCCACCTTCCTCCTGGGAAAAGCTGACAACCCCAACAACAAGAGCTGACAGTTGGAAGCCTCCCCACACCCTGACACTTGTCACACAGGATCTAGACCCTCTAATCCAGCTGCAGATTTGGTCACTTGCTTTGTGCTCACAGGGCACAGAATTCTTGCCCATACCAAATGAGAGCCAGAGCTTTCCAAGCTGTAACCCTGTGAAAGTCCCCCCCAGGCCCAGCAGAGACCAGACAGCCCTGACCCAGGACAAAGAGTGAGAACAGGCTGGGGCAGCTCAGCATGTCTGGGCTACCCTCGCTGTTAGTGCCGTATGTGTGCAGAAGAGAGTGGCACAAACCTGAGGAAACCATGGGAGATGTCCCATTTCATCAGGACTCTGCTCACGAAGGGCTCTTCGGGCTCTGGGGCAGATGAACCAAGCCAGAAAGGAGAAAATATGTGACAGCCACCCAAGAGGCAGCACAAACAGTCACGAGAGGCTGAGCAGTGTTTATGAACCAGAGCAGCAGTGGTGATGCACATCAGCGCTCAGTGGGAAGCTCCACACTCCCAGCAGGATCCCAGCACCCTGCACGGAGAGGACTTGGCAAAGCACAGGTTCCCTGCCTCCATTCCTGAAGCAAGGTTCGCTGTCCCCTCTGGCAGCATCTCACACCCAACCAGTCCTGTCCAACTGGAAACCAGCCACAGCTCACTCATTTATTAGCTCGCACACCCAGCCAGGGACTTGGTGACTGTGAGGATGGTGACTTCCCACTGCAAGCCAGCACTTGGGAATGCCAGTGAACACTATGGAACAGGCAGCTGTGAGCAATGTCTTCAGCCAGGCTGAAGCAGGAACAGCTCAAGGAGCTCCTGCTACAAGCCCCAGCCTCCCATTTGCAGGCAGGGCTGAACATCCGTGAGCCAGGAAAAGAGCCCAAGGGAAAACTCTAGCACGTGAATGAAGTGTGTGTATTCAGCCAAGGGTGATGAGGGTTACACTGGTTTGAAGGCAACACTGAAACAGTTACTCTAAAGCAGCAAGTGATCACTAGAAACCCATTTCTCCAAAGCATCAGCCCTTCTATTCCATCTATACAAGAATTGCTTTCCTTAGAAAAGGTGACATCATGCTCAAGCGAGGGGCAAGAGAAATACAAAAGGAGCCTTATGGCTCCACACAAGATATGCAGATGAGAACAACATACTCCCAGCTACAGCCAGCCATGGAAAGGGCAGCCCCTCAGAGCACAGCCGTGTCTGGCACATCGGGTCAAACAGAGGGAGCTTTGTTTAGGAGCAAGTGCAAGTGCTGTCAAGCTTCAGTGTCTTTACAGCATTCATTCGCAGGGGTGCCCTGTGGACAGTGACTGGGAAAAGGCACTGGAATTCAGAGAGAGGTGCTGAGAGCGTGAACACAGGGTGCAGATGCAGAACAAGCCACCAAGCAGAGAGGCAAATCCAAAGTGTGGAATCACAAGACTTATCTGTGTGAGACAGAAGAAGACACTCGTTTTAAGAGAGACTCACGTGTTTGTGCACAGCAAACTTTGCTTAGGGAGCTTTCAGGCACTAGTGTTAAGGGTCTTCCTCTGCAGAGCAGGTCCCTGGCCTCTCCCTGGTTAGTGTGCAGGACTGTGCAGAGCAGCAGTTAGAGCAGAACCCGCTGCACACCTCAACACAAAGCCAAGTAGCAAAGTGGCAAAACTAGACGAGTTCAGCTACTTCCACAGATCAGCTCATGATCCAGCCCATCTCAAGCCTGTTAATGGCAATTCCTAAGGAATCCACTCGAGCACTATCCATAGCCTCTTCCGGGAGGAATCCTGAGACCATGGCCCAGTGGCTCCAGCAGGCAAGCTAAGCCACATTACCTTAGGAAGCCTGCTCCAATAGGACTGGGAATTGCAAGTCGTAGAGTTCAAGTCAGAACCTTTTGAGGCCAGTAGAGCACTTAGTGTTACACATGCAGCTCACAAGGACCTGGAGAAGAGCATGCTGCAGGAAAGCCTCCCAGTGCTGGAGGCAGGGATCTGTAGAAGTAACGAAGACGCGACAGTGCCATGACTGTCCACCTCTGGAGACCAGAGCACACCAAGCCTGCTGAAGCAAGAGGCAAACACCAGCCAGCTCATATTTACATGGAAGTCATGTCATTCAAGGCGTGGTCCAGCTCCTCACTAATTGCTTTGTACTTCAGTTTCTGGGCATAGAGCTCATCTAGAAGATGTCGAGGAGGAGAACAAAAGGGAAACAATGAGGGAAGGCAGAGGAGTTCTTCCAACAGCCTGAGGCAGGAAAAGCAGCATGGGATTCATGAACTGGAGAAACTGAAGTTAGATGTGGAGCCATCCCAGCTCCAGATTAGTTCCTGACAATGAACGGGTGGGTTTGAACAGCCTGAGGACAGCATGACCAGCAAGTGCCTTCCAGGATTACATCCAGCTCCAAGGGGAGCAGAGCCAAGACCTCAAACCACAACAGCTTGTGAGAACAGTTAAGCTAAGTCAGCAAACCCCACTGACAGGGGGAGCAGCAGGGAAGGGCAGCTCCATCCACTTAGGGAGAAGCTTGCTCCACCCAAGGAAGGCACAGATCAATGGAGGGGCTTTGTTCTCCCCTTTAGCCTTCAGTACAAAACCAGGCTTGGGAGCAATCAGTCACCTCGTAGGCCTGGGCATCAGAGGGAATTCCCACTCTGTAGGACACAGCCAGGCAGGGTGAGCCAAACAGACAGGCCACACGGGTGTTCTCCATCAGGTAAGATGGATGCGTGGAGCAGACAGGCCTTCAGAGGAGGAGGTGGTCCTGAGACTCGTGTCCATGCACTCCTTGAGCACAAGAGCTGGTGCAGCCTTGCCCCAGCTCTGCCTGCCCAGGCTCCAGTCCAGCTGGGAATGTTGTCAACAGCTTCCCAAGGCCCAGAGAACTCTAGGCAGTTGTCATAAACGAAGTCACTCCAGCAGCAAGGCTGGAGGCCAGAGCCAGCTCTCAGCCAGTGTCTTTCCAGGGGAAGCATACAGGGATTTGGAGGAGGTTTTGCAGTTCCAAGTAAAAGCCTGCCCTGGCTGGGCTTGCTCTTGGCTGTGGTTCTGGAATAGCTCAGCTGACACCATTGCTATTTCTAGCTACAAACCCTTCCTGAGTGACTCCAGATAGTAGGATGTGGGTTTCCATCCCCAAGACCTGGCACAAAAAGCCCAAAGGCACGTTGCTGTGGTCAATGAGGGAGGCCTGGAGGAGTTTTGGTTTACCAGCACCACCACTCCAGCCACAGCTACCCACAGAAGAATCTGGCCACAGCCCCACATTTAAGGGAGGCAGTTGGAACCTTCTCCTTCCATGGCTTAGGGCAAGGTAGGATTCTGTGGTGCCTGGCCTCAGGAGGGCTTCTGAAGCCCTGTGAAAGCGGAACAGGAGAAGGAAGGGAAGCCATCCTTGGCACAGGCTGACCACACTGCAGGGACGGGGCTTGTGGTGATTTCATCTTGAACCAGGACAGACACTGGGGAGTCTGAGACTTGAGGGGTGCTGTTTCCAGACTGACTATTGCGGCTGACCTGCAGCACGACAGCCACCTGCGTGAGATCCTGCACACAGGTATGGTATTATAAGAGATTCCTGGGGAGTTCAGGTGTTTCCTTCCTTAAATTGGGTGAAGCTGGAGCAGAGGAAGCCAGTTACGCTCCTGAGGACATCACAACCGAGGCACCCCAGCCGTGCTGTCTGTCCCTATCAGTCAGACACAGCAAGGTGTCTGCATGGAGAGCTGGAGACCTGCCACAGCGCAGCCAGGGAACTCTCACAGCAGATACACAGGGCACGGCTCGAGCCCAGAGGCACCAAGCCTCACCTTGGAGCACAACCAAACTCTGCCTCCAAGCAGTGAGGAGCAGAGCAGCGTCTCCTCTCTCCGCCTCTTTGGAAAGGAGCTTTCCTCAGCTCCCCACTCCTCAGCACATACTCTCGGGCCTCCCATCCCCAAGATGTACCTTCCAAATCATCAATGGTCTTCTCCAGCTTGGCTACAGACCGCTCAGCGAATTCAGCACGGGTCTCTGCCTGCAGGCAGAAGCAAGCCCATTAGTACAACAGCTTTGGGGCACAGCAGAGGGCTACAAGAGGCATCAGCCTGAGGACATGAAGTCTACTGCCCTCCACATCTCTCTCCTCACTTAACCAGCGGGGCCACCCTGACATGGTCACTCACCTCTTTGAGTTTATCAGTCAGGATCTTGATCTCTTCTTCATATTTATCTTCTTTTTGGGAGTACTGTGGAAAAGGAGAGGAGTCAGCAACCAGCAGCCCTCAGCAGCCCCACGACCTCCCACTCCCATAGCTACAGAGGGAGACTGAACTCCTCCATTGCAGTGCACGTGCCCAGAGAAACTTCCAAATGAGAGTTGCTCATCCCCACCCTAGTCCAAGAGAAGTAGGTCAGGACTCCCACACCATGCACAGAACGAACCTGGGCACAAACAAATTCTCATCCCAGCAGCTGATCTGAGTCTGCCCCAGGGCAGGGCAGGGCAGTCAGGCTCCCCACAGCTCCTACAGTCAACAGGAGCCCTGCACTGAAATCCGTTAGCTCTTGGGAGAGCAGGCACAGGTCTCCTTGCTTGCTTAAGGCTGCAGTTGTGTCATTTCCATCCCAGTGGGTGCTCTGTTGTCACACACCCTCTGAGCAAAAGAGAAACGTTTCTGGCCCTTGGACACCCAGCCCTACCTTCTCAGCCTGAGCCTCAAGAGACTTGAGATTGTTGGTGACATTCTTCAGCTCTTCCTCCAGCTCGGAACATTTACTGTGGGGTTTTGTAAAAAAAGGGGGGAGAAAAAGGCAAAGAGGAAGTGGGAGGGAAAGACAGGAGAAACAAGAAGTGAATCCATGTGCAGGGAAGAGCAGGAAGTTCTTAAGGAGATGGGCTGTGATCAGGCTGGATGGGAGCCTGCTTTGAGGCACTTCTGCAGAAAGCAAGTTCCCTTCCCGCCTCCAAGTTTGTATTAGAAGTCTTCTGCCAGCACATGCACAGGGCACTGAGCTGAGCAGCCGAGGTGTGAGCACAGATCTCGGCCAGACCTAGAATCTTCCAAGTAGAAACTGCGTGTTTAGTTTGCTGTAAGGAGGGAACCTGTTCTGATGGACACACAGACCTTCACCACCACTCGGACAGAAACACAGATGGGCAGAGAGGACAGAACATTCCAGGAGAAAGATGCAGTTAAGCTGAGGAAAGAAGCGTGGGTAAGAAGACCAGGAGAGTTGTGGTTTAATGGTTCCAGAAGGGAAAGGTTAGTACCTTTTCTTCAGCAACAGACAGACACCTCAAGTGCTGGTCCATCACTCGAATCTGCTCCCGCAGCTCCCGGCAACGACTGTTAGTGACGGTCACACGATGGCACAAGCCAGGTGGGGACAAGGGTCAAAAGGAGCACCAATAACACACCACCACAGAGGGGAAGGGGAAGAACACAGAGAAGTCATGGTCATGACATGCATGTCTGGGCAGGAAGCACAGAGCTACTGCTGCAAACACACTAACTTTGTTAGACAAGGCCCAGAGCACAGAAAGGACCTGACCAGCTCCTCAAGGATCAGCTAAAGCATCCGGACATGTGAAAGGTGGCCAAACACCAGTCTGCATGTGTGCTCTGAGCAGAGGCAGCCCAGCTCACTGCGCAGCAGTGCACAAGTCTGTAGTGCTTACTGCAAAGGATAAGAGGCCAAAGACCAAGCTCAGCCCCAGTTCTGCCCTTGGGCATCCCCCATGCCACTTCAGTCCCAGCCCAGGAGGCCTCTGCTGCTGCTGCAGGAGAAGTACTGTGCACTCACGTGCTCTGTTAGCAATGTGTAAGGATCTTGTGACCACACACACAAAGCAGTGCTGGTGACCCCTCAGTGGAGAAGGATTCTCTGGCCTGGCTAAGTAGGGAGTCCCTCCATGCGAAGGGGCAGGACATCTCCGCTACAAGGCAAGTCACATCATTGCAAACTCCACAACCTCAGTGGACCTAATCCTGTTGTGAGCAGGAGAGTGCTTCCAAGCCATTCTTCTGAGGATCTAAACTCACCCTGTGCTTCAGGCCTTGTGTAACAAGGTTAGGAATGCTTTGTTAGTTCCCATGCAAAGGTAGATGTGCCAGTTACATGCGAGCAGATTACTCACGACTCTGCAAGCTCAGCTCTCTCTTCGGTACGCTCCAGATCTCCTTCTATGATCACCAGCTTCCGAGCAACCTGGAACAGAGAATCCAAGTGAAGATGATTCTGTACCTGCAGGCTCTGCAGAGCACTAAAGGGAACAGCTGCAGGAGCCACTGGAGCTGCCAGAGTCTTTTGGCTAAGGGGAACACGGATGGAGCTCTCTGAAAGCCAGGCTCTCCTGC